TTCAACAAAAGAGAAGAGTGGGTAGAAGAGAAATGTAGCCCATTGAATAAGGAATCTTCTGCAGCAGTGAAGATTTCCCCAGCTCAGTGAGACGTAAGGATCTGCTTCTTCTGCGTCGGCTTCTCCTCGAAATGGGTAAGGAATGTTCTCTAATTTCGTTGCCCAAATAGATTTTCTATTCTAGGGCTCTTTGTGGCGGCTGGACACTGTTCTACTATTTATATCGGGTCCTTCAAATTAGGGCGGCACCAGGAAGCTGTACAGACACGGTAAAACTAGTCACACGCTCTAAAGCATCCTGAGCGGCTTCCGACCCCAGCAAAAATGCATCTTCTTGCCATGTTCCAGCAACAATTTCACAGCCTTGGAAGCACTTGGCTTGCCCTCAACAAATTCTTCCATTCTTATACAAAACATCCATAATTAAGCATAATTCATTCAAAATGAGGGAATTGAGAATTCTAATAGCTCAAGGACCTATAGAAGTGATTTCTTATCTTTTCCATGGTCTTTTGATAAGGATTCTCACATTTACACACCAAAATTGTCCAAATTATACCACAAAACACTCTCTTATGAAGAGTTATCAATAGTTAATCACAAAGAGGTTACAGTCGATCGATTATGGTTAGAGGAAGATCGGACTTGGAATCTTACCACTAGGACAAATCTCACTGAGAATGAAGTTGAAGAATGGGCCAATCTTCAGCAACTCTTATATCCTTTGAGTCCAAACAACAGACAAGACTCTAGAATTTGGAGTCTATCACGTTTTGGGAATTTCATTGAAACCATCAGCAATCCTATCCATATTGAGTTGACTAAGAGCATTTGGTGAGTTGACTAAGAGCATTTGATGTTCTCATATCCCAATAAAGGTGAAAGTATTCTTGTGGATTCTCCTTCAGGAAAAACTAAATACCTGTGACAAATTCCAGAAGAAAGGTCCAGATTTGGCTATTTCCCAGGTTGGTGTGCTAATAAAAAACACCCACTAAAAAAGATACCTTAACCAAATCTATAAAAAAGAAAGCTTGGAGCCCGCTCTTTTAGTTTGGCTCCTTTTGGTGGGCTTGTTTTTTTGTATGTCCCTTTGTATTCTTTCATTTTTCTCAATGAAAGCTCGGCATTTCATAAGAAATATATATAAAAAAAGAAAAGAAAAGAGCAATTGCACGTGTTTGATTTCTTCTTCTTCTTCTTTTTTTATATTTTTTAATGAGAAACATTCAGCCATTTCATTGATATGATGTATACAAAAGGGAGGGAAAGCTATTTGAAACATAGGGAGGCTAAAAGAGACCTCTAATTGGCCAAAAGTGTTTGAATTCTGTTTTGTAGTTTGTTTAAAAACTTCATTGGATTATGGATATTGTTGGTTGCCCATCACTTAAATAATTTTATTCTGTTTTGATATTGAAATTTATTTTTACATTATTAAATATTTCTAAATATCTCAGGCACTTATATACAATATTTTTTTTTTATAAAAAAAACTTATGTGACAATTTATTTTTAGATAGTTACTGATCTACTGCACTCTTACTTGTATAATCTTTTTTTTTTCTTTTGTTCTATGCTTTGAATGGATTTCCTTTTCCCGTTGGCGCTGTAGAAATAATGAATGCTATAGTGTTGGAATGAAATTAGTGCTTTCAATGTCTTTTGCTGTACTCTAATTTTTTAGATTTGTTTTTTATGCTAATCATGTTTAGCTAGAAGGATCTCTTACTCTGGAAAAATGTTCATTGTTGTTTGCAGATGACTACCGTCTGTTTTGTGGTGATCTTGGCAATGAAGTGAATGATGATGTGCTCTCTAAATCATTCTCACGATTTCCTTCATTCAACATGGCTAGAGTAAGTTTATTTTGTCCAATATTCTACATGATTCACTTATTATTATTATTTTACTTTTTGGCATTTTGCATTATAATTAGTTTCCTTGAAATGCTCTGGCTTGTTTAAAGGGTGGTAACGCATCTAGGTACCTCTTGTTTGTACATTTACATGCAATAATGATTATGAAAGCATTTGAGACTTTGATCTGATATGTCCAAAAGTTTCCATTCCTTGAATTTCACATTCTTCTAATATTTTCTAGGTTCAAATCCTATGTTGGTACTCAAACTTGTATATTTATTTTGTTTGGTTCCTTCTTTCAAATATCTGTTTTGGTTCTTAAGCTTTTAAATGTTCTATTTTCATCCCAACTTTGATGAACTAATTTTGTCACTGCTGTTAATTTTTTTTGTCAATCATTTGGGATTTGTTTGGAGACTAACCTGTTATATGTGACTCCAAAAACTTATCTATGTAGTGGCGACGTGTCATATCAAATTTCGGTCAAATGATTTATAGAAAGTAATAGAAAATTAATGACTACAATGGTCTTTTTATGTAACGTTGAAGGATTGAAATAGAATCATTTGGAAATACAAAATAAAATAGGCATAAAAGTTCAAGACGTAGAACAAGATTTAAATCTATTTTTCATGTTTCTTAAATATTATTTATGAGATCAAGAATTTTATTTAAGAAGGACGTGATCATCTGATTGGGAATTGTGCAGCTGGAACCTCTTTATGGAGCTTGTATCCCTTAGAATTTACCGGGTTCATGGAATAGCTTGAGTTGTAACATGATTGGGTCATTTAAGCTTGTCAGATACAGGTCAGCCCTCAAGCTTTTAAAAGTGGGTCTTCTTTTCCTTTGGTAGTTTGACTATCTTACTGCTTATGTGGGGTACAAGGGAAGTCCCTTAAAATTTTGGGCACGAAACTATCCATGGAATTTTTCAGTGGAACATGAAGACAATGGGAGTCCCCTACTTCTAGTAATGCTTTGAGATATTTTTGCAATTTTTGATATTCACTCATGAATCTTGATGAAGATAGGAGCTGTTATATTGATCGGTCCATTGATTTCCCCATGTATGCTGCATATAGTTTTTGTGCTTTGTGATCATTGTATATTCACCCCATGAAATATGATTATCTTCTCTCCCATTTCGTATATGGTATTGGGTCCTATCTTGGAAGAGTTTTCTTTTCCCATTTGGATTATTGTTGGGTAACTAGTTCTGTACATTTTATGGGCCGAACTTGTAATTAACTCACAAAAATTTTGATTTTTGAAGCACTGTCAATTTAAATTACTTATTTGCCCAGTTGTTTAAAGTGATTCCCATGTTATAATTTCTTGGAAGTTAGAAGTGATTTATTTTGACCAATTGGTGCATCTTTTATATCAAACGATTTTGGCTTTTTATCTTGGTAAATATACTATTTGATGACATTACAGATTTGATCTAAAATATTTTGATATTTTCTTTATGGTTTATGTCGTTATTGACTATATTTTTCTCTGGAATATTTTCCTTTTACCAATGGATTAACATGCATATTGATGTCGAATTTTTAGGTTGTTAGAGATAAGCGAACTGGTAAAACCAAGGGCTATGGATTTGTAAGCTTCTCCAATCCTACTGACCTTGCTGCAGCACTTAAAGAAATGAACGGTAATGTTCTGATTGTAGTTTCAATGTTATATGGATCCTGCAGTTCTTTCAAGTTTCGTCCCTCTGTTGGACCATCTATGGTGTATATAATAAACCTTTCCTCATATATGGTGTATATAATAAACCTTTCCTCATTGGTGGAATGCAGTAGTGTGTTAATGAAAAGTTCAGTTTAGGTTGTTATATAACATTGTTGTTCAAAAGAGTTCTATTTTTCTTTAGAAGTTGGTTAAGCTACAAATTTTTTCCTTTTTCTTTCATAAACATTTTGGACACAAATTTTAGGATTTTAAATGTAGGTTCTGAAGAATTTTGTAATTTTGTTTATTTTGTTTGTTGTTGTTGTTGTTTATTTATTATTGTTATTATTATTATTATTATTATTATTATTTTTGCATTTTGATGAAGATTTTAAAAGTATTTCTAAAAGTTGAAAAATAGAATTACTTTTAGAAAAAACATTAAAGCCTTCAGATAGAATCCAAGATTTTCATATTATCACACCTCTGCAGGAAAGAATTTGCCAAAATGAACTAGGCCCATCCCAATGAACCATTATGGATAGCTTTAGGTGTCTTCTACAAAAAAAAATTCATTTGCTTAGTGGGTTAAGGCACATGYATCCAACTTCTAGTAGTAAAAAAAAGGGTTGTTGGTAGAGTTTTGAGAGGAGATTTGGAGTTTAACATGTTTCAAATCCCCCCATTTTTGTTATAGTTTTTATATGCCTAGACCTTCTTGATCTCAGGCAAGTACGTCGGAAATAGGCCGATAAAACTAAGAAAGAGCAATTGGAAGGAAAGGACAGATTATGAAGCGCTTGAAAGACACAAGGTAAAGTTTTGCTCCTTTGGGTGTTCTTTTGCATGTTTATTTCTTGCGTTCTTGATTCTCGACGAGTTTTTTAATCTACTAGTTTAATGACAGAACCACACTCAAAAGAAATCAAAGCTTCCAAAGAAGAGTATCTTGCACAAGTGAAGACTGTTCTGAATTCGTGTCTTTTACTATCCGAGTTTAATCGTCAATCGAGTGATTGGTATCACTTGTCAGAAATTTGATGGAGTTTGTATCTGATAGAGCTTTCCGTTCTCTGCTGCAACTTTAATCGTGCATCAGAATAGATGTTTTACTTTGAACGAGTCAATTTTGTAAATTGTTGTGCATTTTTCTTTCCTATTGGCAATTTAATGAAGGAATAGTTATAATTATTTTTGAACCGATAATACAACCAACCAATGTTTTAAATGTCAACTTAAATGTTTGAATTTTATAGAAGTATTGATAATACCGATGGGTGTTTTAAAAAAATTGTAAAAATATAAAATTTATAAGAAATATTTAAAATTTAAATTAACATAGAGGCGTTTACACGTTTGAAACAAATTAAAAAATATTAATATTAATATTTTATCCATAAGTGGTATTATATTGATAGTTGACGAATAAATTGTTAGTAATACATGTGAAGCAATTAGCATGTCAATTATTGAACGTATAATACCATTTTGATTGTGAAACTTTATATGTGGAAGTTATTTGTGACTTTACTTTTACGTGTTATGATATTTAGTGTTGTATTTTAACCTCAACAGTTTAGTAATYGTTGAATTTTGAAAAAATATTAATTTAGTTGAATTTTGACAGTGGTAGAGATTTATTTCTTATCAAAATTAAGTGTAAATTTTATTGTTTAATGATTTAATCTTTGTAGTTTATAAATATGTTAAGTTTCTCGTCATTTTATTAATAAAAGAATATAAGAACAATTCCCATTAAATATTAACGACATCTTTCACAATAAAAGAATATAAGAACAATTCCCATTAAATATTAACGACATCTTTCACGAGCGATAAATATTTAGTTGGAGACACTTAAGATTTCATGGAAAGGGAACAAGATGAAGAGTCAGAAAGGCAAAAGAGAGAATAGGAGAGTGGGAAAGGAAGAAAATAAGGAAAAAAAAGATGCTCAACAGAACACTGAAGGGACAACACTACTTGCAGCATAATGCTTCAAATATCTCCATCTGCAAATTTCATTTGCCAAAGTCTACATGTTTTAGCTTATTCGATATCTACTACGATATCAAACCGAAACCAATCCAGTTATTTCACAACAGTTCATAAGTTACATCACATCAAGAATTACACTATCATTGGGGAAGGAATGAAATCAAAGTTGAGATCGACTTTTCAAACTTATTAATCAGAGTTTTCAATGGAATCCATTAAAGAATCCCAAAGTGAATACCTTTCTGGGCATGCCTTGTAAAGCAGAGTCTTCAAATTGCATGCTCTAAGCTTCTCATCCAGTTTGATCACATGTGGCTTTGGACAGTTCTGTAAGCATAAAAATGTGGAAGAATCACTCAAGTAATTTGGGCAGAAAGCCTGGATTAACAAAAGTAAATGAAGATGTTGATACGGAAGGAATAAATTTCACCTTTATCAACCATAAGAGATATGCAGCAGAATATGTTGCTTGTGCATGATAATCCTCGAAGTTGTTATCTAGGATAAATGAGCAGGAATTCACAAGATTTGATTCATTTTCTGTAAAGAAAAGGACATCGTTGTTTATTCCCCCCTCTTGCTCATATGTATTGAGATTGGATGCAAAATGTCTCATCCAACACAGCGAAAGGAATCGACGGTGAATCCATAAAGCCTGTCCAGAATGGATATAATTCAAGGAGAACAAAAAAAGATCAAAATGCTAGCAACAAAGTTTCACGCTCTTTTCTCTTGAACAAAAAGGACCAGAATGTCTCATTTAACAGAGCGAAAGGAATAGAACAAAATGCTAGCATTCAGAAAACCATGTAGCCAAGCGCAGACTATAATGTAGAAGATGGAATAGGATTTGTCTGAATACATCATTGCAAGTTAAGATGACGAAAAGTTATCTGAGGA